GTATTTTTTTAGAGAACCCATTAAAGGTGAATAAATAAAAACAACAAAATCTCAGTATGTATAAAATAAATAAATTACTTCATGGAAAGCGCTTTGTTCCGGATTTTCCCACTCGTCGATTTTGTTTCTGAAATCTCACTCGTTCGCTTCGCTCACTCGTTCGATTTCAGATACTTCACCAACTCGTGCGAAAATCCCGTACGAGTGCGCTTTCCATGAAGTAATCTCTATTTTCATCATTACTGTTTCATTCGAAACACCGACGCAGCTCACACTAGTTTTTAGCTATTTATATCTTCTTAATGTTGTATTGTTATTTGTATATCAGCGGGCTACTTTTGAATGAAAGTTCAGTTAGCATCGCAAAGTAAATTGTCAGGATCAGTGCTGCTTAAATCATCAAAATATAATGTATTATCATATGACCGGTATCTGCCCGGGCGCGCGCTCTTAGAAAAACCATCGGGAAAATGGCGTGAGCAGGGCCGTACGGCTTTGAGCAAGCAGGGCCGTACGAATGCGTACGGCCCTGCTCGAAACCTGCGACTGTATTGATATAATTTGCAACTTTTAAAATATCCTTTCTATTTAGGGTCATATGATAAAATGCCTATTGACTGAGTTAGGTCGGGCCTTACGAGTAAATATTTTTATCTCGGTCATTTGTACGGCATCACCTCGAGCCAAATATTTTCCCGTACGGCCCGACCTAAATCAGTCAATAGGGAGTTTTAGATAGATATTTTTTCTTCCCGCAAACGGCAAACGTGGCCACGTTTTCGTCGTTTTCCTGTATTTTACTTTACCTCTTGCAAACCTTCATATCACAAACAAATATTCTTTTGTTTTTCTACTACTTAGATTTTTTCGCGATTCCTTTTCAGTAATTTAAAAGAATTTTTCACTGATCAACTGACGTTACACGTTTGCCGTGAACGTCAATCTAAAACTCTCTAATAAGTACATAGTATCATCAAGAGAATTTGAATCTGGAGTATTGTGGAGAATTGAGGGAGTGCGTCTTTTTCATTCTTTATCATATATTTAACATTTCATACATTGTTATTATAACATGTTTTTCAGCATGTACCACTCCAGCTATCTCTGCAAGGTCTAATGGTTTCACAGGTTTCCAACGACTTCCATCATTCTCCATCATCTGTTTTTCTTGTATATTGTCTTTTGTTTTTACCTACTTATTAACTTACACACACAAACACACACACATTTATACACACTTAAAAACATTTACACACACTTACACACACACTTAAACACACTTACAAACACTTACACACACTTACGCACCCTTATACAAACTTACACAGACTTACACACACATAGAAACACACTTGCACGCAAATGCACACACACTTAAACAAACTTACACACACTTACACACACATAGAAACACACTTAAACACACTTACGCACACATGCACTAAGACTTACACACATTTACACACCTACGCACACTTACACAAACTTACGCACACATACACACACACTTACACACATTTACACGTACTTACACGTACTTACAAACACTTACAAACTTTTACACACACTTACTCACAATTACACACACTTACACAAACGTACACACACTACAAACACTTACACACGCTTAAACACACTTAAATACACTTACGGACATTTAAGCACCCATACACACACTTACACAAACTTACACACACATAAACACACACTTAAACACAATTACACAAACTTACACACACTAACACTTTTACGGACATTTACAAACACCTACATACACCTACACACACCTACACACACACTTACACACACTTACACCAACTTACACACACGTAAACACACGTACACACACTAACACACACACTAAAACTTACTTAAATACACTTACGGACATTTACACACACCTACACACACGTACACACATTTAAGCACAGTTACACATACACAAACAC